GACTAGGCACGCGCAGAGGCAGAGGTAGACGGCGAGGTCGGCCATGTTGGCCGAGGACTTGCACAGCGCGCCTTGGAGGCCAAAGAGGCGCAGCACGAGGTCGATAAGCTGCAGACCGAGGCAGGCCGTCGACGCGAGGCGCAGGTACAGGCCAATGTCCGCGTACGTCTCGGTGGTCGTGGCCGCGACCGCGAGGCAGTTGGCGGTAAAGTCCAGCACGAGGACCGTCAGCAGCGTGTAGTGCCACGAGCGCTTGTCGGCGACGGCGAGGCAGCGCAGGTGCAGCGGCTTGGTCGTCGTCGTCGTCGCTGGCATGGGGCAAACTCAGTTCTGGTATTCCAACCATGTCTCTGGCTTGGTCGGAATTTTCAAAAGCAGGTGGGAAACCACGCATTTTTCACATACAACACAACGTCCATGCACCCAGGTCGGCGCTGCTTAGAAAGGCAGTCGCACGTGTCGTCGACAGCACGTATATGTATATACGCAGCGAAATAAAGATGATCTCCTACTGGTACATGTAACCTCGGTCGATGATGGCTTACGGCGGAAGGAACTACGCACGTCCGGGATCGTGCCCCACGGTGTGTTGGTGTGTGTTTGTGTGTGTTTTATGTGTGTTTTGTGCCGGTCGTCGATGAAATGGCAAGCGTCGCCGTCGCACCGAGGGCTTCATCGTCAGCGGGACTCGCTCTAGGCAAGTGCTTGCTGCTAGCATTGGCATGCACGGAGACGACGAGACAATAGTATGAATGCGTGATGCACTCGATTCCATGGTCCATGCATCAGGTCCTGCTTGGTTGTCGTCATCGGCCTGTGAGAAACGGCACATGGACCACGTGGGCTCGAGCCAATTCCCAGGTGGCAGCTTGGTGCACTGACCAATCGCATCGCTTCCGGCGTGTCCACGTCAAAAATCCGGTGGCTCACTCGACTTCGACGAGCAGCGTTCATCGGAAAATTGATGTCGATTTCGTGTACGAGTTGAGGGTGGAAGGATCGAGACGTCGGGACCACCGGCAACGGCGCAGGACCGAGTGCTATGGGGCGGTGTTAAACCACCATGCGACGGGCCATTTTGAGTCCCGCTACGGTACCGTGCGACGCGCACCGACCAGGAAGAACGCGATCATCGCTCGTTCTGTGCTTCGGCGAGCACGGCGTCGGCGCGATCGTAGCATTCTGCGTGCTGTTGGCGCGCCTCGAGGTCTCTTTGCTGCATCTTGCGTTCGGCACCTGTTGCCGTCCGTGTTGCCGCGGAAGGTGTTGAGCAGCATGTTTTGCTTAAATATATACAACGATGGACAACATGACAGTATTCTCCGTGGTGCCGACCGCTTTGGCCAAGGGTTTATTATGTATTCCCTTGGTCTTGGCCGGCCGACGACGGCACGGTCATGTACGGTCACCGGCGGAATCCAAACCGCTGGAGCTGCGGAACTGTTAAAATGCACACGTTCGAAGACTGGCCCGGTCGTGATCGCTTCAGCAGAGCAGAGTAAGCAGTCCCAAGGTGCTTTTGACGTGGTAAAACTTTAACCACGTCACGTGCACCTTGGACTGGTAGTGTACTTTTCCCATAAAAGTACGCTGCAAGTCGGTGTAGACGCGCTCGAACGTTTATCCTGTTTGCTCTTATGTATCCGGATGACCGCCTGTCTTTCACGTAAAGGGGTCGTGGCGCCGCCCCTTTTGGTCGAGATTGCCGTTTGCGTATCCGGATGACCACGATCTCGCAACTGGCTTTCGCCGATCATTTCGCCCTGTAGCGCCATGCCGACGCCGGTCGTTGCTTCGTTCGTCGAGCTGGCCTCGGGTATTTAATACGTGCGACCGCTGCCACCGCCCTTCATCCAGATGCATAGATACATCATCGAGCCATGCGCTACCGGAAGGCCAGCGCCGGTACCTGCGCCTCGTCGACGCCCGGTCCTGGCACTACTCGATTGTGTGCATCCTTGTGCTCGACTTTGTCGCCAACTGCCTCGGCGTCGCAGCCACATCGACTGAAACGTACGCTGACGGAAGCGTGTACCTGCGGTGCGCGTCCTCGGCCTGTCTGCTCGTCCAGGCCGTCGACCTCGGAGTCCGGACCTTGGGCCTGCGCAGCAAGCTCGTCGCGTCGCGGGCCAACCTCGTGGACGCAATCGCCTTCTTGCTGCTCTGCGCCTGCCTCGCGTGCCGGTACTCGCCATAAGGCGACGCTCTTGACCTCACGTGCGTAACTAGCTTTCGCTTTGCCGACAACATTGAGGGCGCGACGATCACCACGGATGGCTATGTCGACAAGTGGCACATTTTTACCAAGTACAAACTGCTGCTGTACGAAGCCGATATCGCCCTCGCGTACTGCTTTCTCACCGTCTTGCGCATCCTTGTCAAGCCGCCAGCGCGCACGTATTCCAAGTCGCTGCACCGGTCGGCCAAGCCAGACCGCGTCTCGATCGCGTCGCTGCGGGCCTCGATCCGCCAGCTACCGTCCATTTCTGCGGTAGGGCGTGTCTTTTTTAGTTGAAAGTATCAATGTATCGGGCGTAGGCGTCGGTCGAGAAGATGGAGACGGAGCTGCGCATCTTGAGTGGCGCCGACGACGGCTACATGCTGCCCGAAGCGTTCATGACCTTTGTCGAGCGTGCGTATGCATTCCGGCCCAACACGATGACCGCCAGCGCGTTTTTGTCGCATTTCCAACAAGTCCAACTGGTCGACCATGCCGCCTATGGCATCCGGGAGGTCATGGCGTCGACGTTCAAGCACTGGTACCCCGCCTTTTCCATGATTGGCATGCGATTTTTTCAACGGCGTAGGAGCAACCAGCGCTGGTTTCTTCTGGCAACGATGCTGGTGGTGTGTGTCTCGGCCTCGATTGTACCTCTGCTCTCGTTTTACCTCAAGCTACTGACCGACGAGGGTTTTCCGTCGTACGTCAAAAAGACCATCGTGCCCGACTGGGACTATACCACGATGCTTCTCACGGGCACACAAACGCTCGGCGTGTCGCGCAAATTCAAAAACTTGACACGTGGCGCCAACAACGAAGAAGTCGATCTCAAGTTTGTCGCGTACGAGTCCTTTCTGACTGGTATCATTGGCATTTTGGCCATCTGCGTGCCCTTCATCGCCGCCGACTATGCCATGGGTACGCCTTTCTTTTTTCTGATTTTCGTCGATTTGTTTCGTATTTTCTCGATTTTTCCCGAGTTCATTCGCTGTCTACTAGGCTTTTTCCAGTCCAAACTCATTTCGCGCGCGACCAAGCACCTCCAGACGTCGCTGCTGCGTGTGATTTTGCAGCAGCCGTCGAGCTTCTTCCACGACCGGTCCGAAGGCGACCTCAACAACCTCTTCCAAGCCGACATTGCGCGCGTCAACGCCATGTGGCAAGCCGTGTTTTGGGTACTTTATATCTGGTGTTTGGATCAAGGTAGCAATGATGATGGGTAGAACTTTCTTAACCCTGTCGTGTCGATCTCGGTCGGGTTTGTCTACTTGATGACGCTCGAGCCGATCATTGGCAGCTTGGCGTTTGCGTTTGCCATCATCATTGTGACGTCGGGTCCGCAAGGCCGCGCGGGTGCGTGGCTTTGCTCTTTGCTGCATCTGAATCTGAATCTCCAACGGACGGTAGGCAAACGATCGCAGTACTTTGGGTCGCAGAACGCCCACGTCGCGGCCGATGTCCAGAACGCGATCGCGTGCAACAAGGTATGGAGGTACTACGGAGTATTAGATGTCTGAGAATCCGAGACTAGGTGGTCCACGCGTACGAGATCCAGGCGCCGATTCTGGCCAAGTTTGGCGCCAGCTTTGGAACGCTCCGGAGTGCGCAGTTTGCAAAAGACTTTTGGAGCGGCATCGTCCAGATCTACATTGAGTCGGCCATGTTTGTGTTTGTCATGGTCATGACCATCTGCCTCGGCATCAAGGTATCTATCTTTTTTGTATTCTTGTGGATAGATTGTCTTATATGGGTGGTAGACGTACCGCGGGGACATTACGTCTGGTGAGTTTTTCGCGTGCTTGACGCTGCTCAACCGCATCTCGACGCCGGTCACGGTCCTCGGCGGCTTTATGCGCGTGGCCATTGGCAACGCGTCGAGTCTCCAGCGCCTCGACGAGATCCTCGTCCAGGTACTTTTATCGATCAATGTATCAACCCTACACCTAGATACTCACAAGAAACAATTAGGCGGATAAGACGGCCAAGCAGCTCCAGCAGTCGGACATGACGCTGCCAGAGCTCCCCAAGATGCAGCACGCACTCACTCTCGACCATGTCTCGTTCAAGTACGACGCCGAGAGTCCGCACTGGATCCTCAAGGACGTGAGCGCGCTTTTTAAAAAGGTGCAAAATTCTCCAAAAATCTTCCTTCAACAAAATTACAACAATTTCATAGGGCGAATACGCGTGCATTGTGGGTCCGAGTGGCTGCGGCAAGAGCACGCTCCTCGGCTGCCTCATGCAGTTTTACCCGATCTCGGCCGGCGCGCTCCGCCTCGACGCGTACGACACGCAGCACTACTCGAAGGCGAGTCTGTCCGACCAGACCGCGGTCGTGTTTCAGGACGGCGGCGTTCTCAACGGCTCGATCCTCGACAACATTGCGTCCGCTCCTTGTCTCGTGCGTGTTGATGGCTCATACGATGGATGTGAATAGGTATGGCCGGGATGGCGCGACCCGTGAAGCGTGCTTGGAAGCGGCCAAGCTGGCCGAGTGCCATGTCTTTGTGGACGGTCTCAAGGACGGCTACGACACGATCATTGGCCAGCACGCGGTCGTCAACCTCAGTGGCGGCCAGATCCAGCGCATCTGTCTTGCTCGCGCGCTGGTGCGCCAGCCGAGGTAGTCGTGTCTCTTTGAAGTTGAAAGATTGATACAATGCTGGTAGCCTGCTCTTGCTGGACGAAGCCACGAGCGCGCTGGACCCCGAGACCGAAGCCAGCATTGTGCAGACGCTGGAGAAGCTTGTGCGCTCGCTGGACATGACGGTACAGATTTCGATTCTGGATTTGGATGGTTTTTGGATGGTTTATGAATGCTCCACTAGATTATCTCGGTCACGCATCGCATTGCGACGACGCAGAACGCCGACGTCATCTTTGTCATGCAAGCCGGCGCGATTGTCGAGCGGGGCACGTACAACGAGGTAGCGTTGCGTGTTTCTAGTCGTCGTTTTTTGCGCGGGTCCGGATGCTGGCATGGTGTGTAGCTGCTCTTCAAGCCCAAGTCGGTCTTTGCAGAGCTTGCCAAGACCAAGGCATCGCAAAAGACCGATCGCTTTATCCGGTTTGGCTCGCGGGCGTCCATGGGTGGTGACCCGTCGACGACCTTTGCCGCCGTTGAGCGTCTCGCACGCGGCCTCGAGAATCGCAGCGTACGAAGCTCATCAATGGTATCGTTACCTTTGACGGCACGTGTGTAGATGATGGAACAGGCGCGGTCGCGTACCGGTAGCCACACGCCAGGCCGGATTCGGTCCCAGAACGGCAGCCAGCTTCGCGGCACGCACCTCGACGTGAGCACGCCGATGCTCGAGCCTGTGGTAGGACTTGTGGGACTGAGAAAGTTCGTATACAATGGATACCGATGCTAGAGCGGGAACGTTCGCTTACATGCGGACCGAGTCGCGCCAGAGGTACCCATTCACATGGGGCGCCAGCCCAAGGACAACGACGACGGCTACATTGTGCAAAAAGTCCGCCTTAGCAACGTGATTTTCTATCCGCTGACATTTATTTCGACACGATTCCTTTTGGTCTTGAGATTATTGGCGGCATGCACAATCCGCGGAGTGATGCTGCTACCTTGGATGTAGATGATATGTACCACCTCTTGGTCAAATGGATATATTGCTTGTGGGTTTATTGGAACAAATTTACACTGGCGTTCACGAGCTCGCGGGTGCTATTTCGGTTGTTGCGCACGACCCACACAACAGAGATATTGGTTTTTTTTATTTTTTTTTTCATCTCTA